TCTCTGTGTGTGTCTCTCTCTCTCTCTGTGTGTGTCTCTCTCTCTGTGTGTGTGTCTCTCTCTCTGTGTGTGTCTCTCTCTCTCTCTGTGTGTGTGTCTGTCTCTCTCTCTCTCTCTGTCTCCCCCCCCCCTCTCTCTCTCCCTCTCTCGCTCTCCCTCCGCCTCCCTCCCTTTTCCGGACAACAAGGTAAAGCCCAGAAAGAAGGGCGACTCCCGACAGGCCACCAGTTGTCGCTGGAGGGTACCTTCCACTTTCTCGGCTCCGCCACCACCTCCCATTTCCTCTGCCCTTTCGCCTACCGCCCCGCCTCCCACTTTCCCTTCCCTCGCAGTCATGGTGTCGCGTCGCGGGCCACCACCTCGGCTGGTGCGGCCCTCGGCCCTGCTGCTGGTGCTGGCTTGCCTTCTCGCCCCCCTCCTCCTCGGCGCCGGGATCGGAAGCGCCCTGCCCACCCCCACCGCCGCCGGCGACCGGACTCTCGCCTTCCAGGACACGCATCCTTCTGGCGGTACCTCCTCACCCGATCCTCGCCCTTCCGCACACTCGCCTGTTCTAACCCCCCCCCCCCCTGCCCCCTCGCCCGGGCTCCTCCCGCCGCAGAGGACATGTCCATCAGCAACCTCTTCTGCCCCCCTGGATCGTCGCTTCACAACTTTTCCTGTCGCAAGTGCTCGATTGCCGGGTGCAAGACATGCACCTGGTTCCAAGGGCCCGAGCAGTGTCACGCCTGTTTGGATGGCTTCTCCTCCGATCTCCCATGCACTCAATGCCCGAGCCTCTGCAAGACCTGCAGCCTGAGCCTCCACTGCACGGCCTGCAATCCCGGGGCCCTCCTTCACCGGGACACCGGGACCTGCCACAGCACCTGCCCGGAGGGCACCTTCCCCGAGGGGGACTTCTGCCAGGACTGTGGCTCCGGCTGTCAGCGATGCTCCGGCTCCGGGACCTGCGACAAGTGCCACCAGGGGGTCAGCTACTTCGGTAGCTGCGTTGCCGCCTGCCCGGAGGGGTTTGGCCTGGATGCCACGGGACTCGTGTGTCAAGCCTGCCCGGCCGGGTGTCTTTCCTGCTCGCAGGCCGCCATCTGCCAGGTCTGCCTGCAGGGGCAGTTCGAGCACCAGGGCGGCTGTGTGGCAGCCTGCCCTGCCGGCACCGCGCCCAATGCCGAGGGGACTCGGTGCCTGCCCTGTCCGGACATGTGCACGGCCTGTACCTCGGCCGCCACCACATGCACCGCTTGCGCTCCGGGGATGCTGCTCTTCAACTTCCGCTGCGTGGCAAGCTGCCCGGCCGGCTTCTACTCGGATGGGCGGTCCTGCCTCAGCTGCAACCTCAACAACTGCCAAGAGTGCGCCCTGCCCTCTGGCGGGTCGTCGACTCCGGTGTGTCTCTCCTGCCGCGGGGACACCATCCTCAGCCTGGATGCCCGGATGTGTCTGAGTGCCTGCCCGAGCGGGCAGTCGGCCCACATTACCGAGGGCGTGCATCAGTGCGCCGCCTGCCCGCAAAATTGCGCCACCTGCTCCAGCTCGCCGGCCGTGTGCGATGCCTGTCAGGCGGGCTACTTCCTGTCGATGGACAGGTGCACGGCCACCTGCCCGACGGACCAGTTCGCCGATTCGACTTCTCGGACCTGCCGGGCATGCCATGCCTCCTGCCGGACTTGCTCCGGCCAGGCGGCCGACAAGTGCACCTCCTGCCAGGAGGGCATGGTGGTCGAGGAGCCCGGGCCGGCTGGCCGGTGTGTGCCCGACTGCTCGGACCCGGGCGCCTGTCCCAGCGGGTGCTCCGAGCATTGTACCTCCTGCCGGGTGTCCCCGGGCGCCACGGATCCCACCGACACCACGTGCCTGTCTTGCGACACGCCCTTCCTCCTGGATGGCGGTGCCTGTGTGGAGACCTGCCCTCCGGGGCATGCCAGCGCCGGAACCGGGGCCTGCTTCTCCTGCCACCCATCGTGCGCCGCCTGCACCGAGGGCTTCACCGCCTCCCAATGCACCGCCTGCCCAAGTGGCAAGTTCCTCCAGCAGGGCTACTGCCTGGATGAGTGCGATCCCGTTGGCTGGTTCCCGAGCACGACCAGCCAATGTGCCCGGTGTCATGGGTCTTGCCTCCAATGTGCCGGCTTGACGGCCACCCATTGCACCCGATGCCCGCGTGGACGACGGCTACTCCCCGCGGCCGGGTCCGATGACCAGAACCCGCTGGGGTCCTGTGTCGAGCGTTGTCCCGATGGCTGGCACAGCAATTCCACCGGCACCAGCTGCCTGCGGTGTGATGCCAGCTGTGGCACCTGCTCCGGGCCGGCGGCCAGCCAGTGCACCTCCTGCCTGGCTGGGGGGAATCTCCACGCCGGGCAATGCCTTGCCGAGTGCCCGGCCCGGTTCTTCCCGCAGCCGTCCACCTCCGGCACTTGGAATCGGTGTGCCGCCTGTACGGCCGGCTGTGAGATGTGCACCGGCGACACGGCGGCCCTATGCGTCGCCTGCCAGCCGGGGTTCTTCGCGGTCGAGGGGGTTGGCTGTCGGGAGGTTTGTCCGGCTGGCCAGCTGGCCGACCCGGCCACCCGGCGATGCATCCCCTGCGCGGCTTCCTGCGCGGAGTGCCGCGGCTCGCCGGACTTCTGCACCCGCTGCCCGGCCGGGCAGGTGCCGAGCATCAGATCCGGCCAATGCCAGGCCACCTGCGAGGCGGATGAGATCCTCCAAGCCGGCGCCTGCCAGCCCTGCCACCCGAGCTGCTCCGCATGCCAGACACCGAACTCCCATTCCAGTTGCACCGTCTGCCAGGACAACACCTTCCACCTGGATGGCACTTGCCATGGGAGCTGCCCGGCGGGCTTCTTCCCGGCGAATGGGCCCTGCTCCGGGGCCGGCACCGGTTCTGCCCTGCTCGGTGCCATGGCGGCCGAGAGTGGGGGGGGCACCTGCTGTCGGTGTTCGCTGGAATGTGACACCTGTGCTGGCCCGGGCAACAGGCAGTGCACCCGGTGCCCGGCCGGCAAGCTGCTTCACGAGGGCACTTGTCTTACGGCCTGCCCGGAGCCTGGCTTTTTCCCCGATCTCGACACCGGCCGCTGCTCCAAATGCAGTGCCCTCTGCGATGTGTGCCCTGGGGGCCCGGGCACGTGCGAGCAGTGCAAGCCCGGGGCATACATGTTCACTGGGCTGAAGCCCGACCCCCAGGCCAAGGCTGGCTCCCGGGCTTCGGAGGACGTCTCGCCCATGGTCAGCCATGCCATGTGCACCTCCGTCTGCCCTGGGGGCTGGTATCCCGACAACCAGTACATGACGTGCGAGCTGTGTGCCACGGATTGCATCCAGTGCTCTGGGCCCACCGACCTGGACTGCCAAGTTCGCCAGTGTGATACCGACAACAGCTGCTCCTCCAGTGCGTGTCCCATGGTCCTGTTGCTTGCTGGCCGTGAGTCCTGTCCCAGGTGGGGGAGGGGGGGGGGATCTTGGTGCTCTGTCTGGGGCCTCCCCTTTTCCTGCATGAAACTGATTCCCTCCCGCAGAGACACGCTCCTCCCTGGCCATTGGGCTGTCTGTTGGCCTGCTACTGCCGATCATCATCCTCGGCATCGTGGTGTGGATTGTCCTTCGCCGCCGGCGCCAGCCCCAGCCAAAGGCCGAGGAGGCCCCCCCCTCGCCCGATGTGCGTGTGCTCTCGTCAACCATCTTTCCCGCTGCTCCCTTTTTTTTCGTTTGCATCGTGGCATGTGCACGCATGAGTGGTTTGTGCCCCCCCCCCCCCCCCCCCTCCCGCCTCACAAGCCACCCATGCGCGTGTGTGCCCCTTGCCCCATGCACCTTGCTGGACCCCTTTTGCCTGGTGCACGGCGTCCTGGCTCCTCACCTTCCGATCGCACCGAAACACGCGCATCCATCTACCCATGAATATGACACACGCATGTGCACGCACGACAGATGGCCGATATGACGATCCTGAACACCATCGTCGGTACGCTCCCGACCCTGCCTGCTTCCGTGCCGCGGGGGAGGCGCATGCTGCCCGCCCGTGTGTCATTAACCAACACCCCTCTGCCATTTGGCCTCGCGCAGATCTCTCGCTTCCGGGCTTCACGCAAATTCGGATCGGCGAGGATGTCAAGGTTCTCGGGGAGGACTCGGATCTCGGGTCTGGCGCCCATGCGTCCGTCAAGAAGGCTCGCGTTTTCAAGCCGCTGCTGCTGCAGCGCGTTGGCCAGGACTTTGTGGCCGTCAAGTTCTTCACCGGTGCGTGGATAATCCCCTCGGCCCCCTCTCGTGGCCGATCGACCACCCTGGGCATTGCCCTCCTTCCGCCTCCCCTCCCTCTCCCCTGCCGAGCGTCTCCCCGCCCGGCCACACTTCCTTCCTCTGACTCGGTCGCCCCCCTCGCCTGCCCTCCCCCGCAGATGACATCTCCCCTCGACTGCTGCAGTCGATGTTTGAGATGGAGGTATCCACCCTCTGGTATGTGGTCACCCACGCAGCGCCACGCTTTTCACGCTTGCCCATGCGTGCTTGTGTCGCCCCCCCCCCCCCTTCCCTCTTCCTCTCTCTCCCTCTCCCGCTCTCAATTGCTGATCATCGTCGACTTGTCTGCCGGTTCCTCCCGGGCGCGGCCATCCCTCCCCCAAAGGGCACTCCAAAGCTCGCCCCATGTCGCCACTCTGTACGGCTACTCCGAAAGCCCCAAGGCTTTGGTGATGAAGCTGTACGACTCGAACCTCAGCCAGCTTCTCCACAGCTCCGAAGGCCCGGGCGACATCAGCTTGCCGATCGTCAAAAGCCTGGCCACCCAGATCAGTGCGCCATCCCCCGCCTCTTTGCTGCCCCCGACACCGGCCACCGTGCTGACCCCCCCCCCCCCCCCCCCCCCCCCCCCCCCCCCCGGGGCCACCCCATCCCAGTCTCAGGTCTGGCGT